AACAAGTGCCACGCTACTAGTAACAAGTGCCACGCTACTAGTAACAAGTGCCACACTCCTAGTAACAAGTGCATCGCTAGTAGTAACAATTAGCTTCTAGCTACTAGTCGAAATGGTAGCTTCTTGTTCCTAATAATGGTGTCTTGGCCTCCAACCTAGAAGGGATGGCCTCCAACTTAATAGCTATGGCCTCCAACCTAGAATTCGATGGCCAACCTAGAACGGATGGCCTCCAACCATGGCCTCCAACCTACTAGCTATGACCTCCAACCTAGAAGCGATGGCCTCCTTAATGATTTCTTGATGGTTTTTATAAGAAGGCCCAAGGCCTTGCTAGGAAAACTCTCATGATTGTTGGGTGGGTGAACCGAACGGAGAGATAGTGGGGGTTACAGTCTCCGAGGGCACCGTTACAGTCTCAGTTTAACTCGTCATAGTTTAACAAGGGCGTCGCTACTAGTAGCTTCTTGCTACTAGTAGCGATGCCCTTGTTCCTAGTAGTTTAACTCATCAGTTTTACTTCACACCACGTTACTGAACCTGCTCCTTTGCAGTCTTGGCTGAGTGTTTAAAGGGCACCTTGCCGCCCTCAGGTGAGGAGCCACGGACGGCCACCATCAAAGCAGACACCGCCTTGAGCACCTTGAAGATTACCCGAAAGGTGCATGAACCAGTGAGTGCGGTCTGAGGGGGCAAATCACCGCAAACATCATTCCTGCATCCTGGTACTACTGTAAGTGTCTTGGTCAGACTCAATCGTTTTGGACTTGCATGCATGACGAAGGGCCAGTGCCTCAAGACTTCTCATATCTGCACCTTTAATCCTTTGTAGTAACTTCTCTGCGTGTTGTGGCTTCTGTATCCGATTCTCAGTCATCGATCAGCACCTGTTGCCCCTTGCAGCTTAGCCGCCCACAACCTCAAACGATTTGCTGCCAGGCATTCCAAGATTTAAGCTGGGTCCTGAGTGCAACCGCTTCGAATTCTTCTCTTGCCACATCAAACCCTGCAGTTTCCATGAAGCAAATCTTCCTATTGCACCATGCAGTACACTTGACAACTTTCTAACGGCTCCTTCTGGCGCCCGGGTGGGTTCTGACCACGCACGACCCTAGGCCCATTGGTACCACAGGCAGGGCGTGGGGCTTGTTCCAAGGCCTTCATGAGAAGCTTCAATTTGCCAATCGTCGGGCTGTTGGTGGTGGCGGCGGCGTGCCGCAGAAGGTGCGGAGGGACTCGGAGCGAAGGGAATGAGGGAGTTGGGAGATGCTTCGGACATGGACATGGAATGACGTGGTCACCACGTGTTTTTCTCATGGTTTTTAACTTTTTAAATCACGCTTTTAAAACATCGGTGCTCCTTGCGGCTCCTTCGGTTCGGCCTCAATTTTGGTACCTTTTCAGTGCTGTTTAAGAGTGCCTTTGGGCAGTCTTCTTCGCTTGTGACACGGTCCATGAATAAATCATAATAAATCCCAGTGCCCACTGTACACAAACCTCAAAGTTGGAGATCAGGGCATCCATAGAGTTGGAAGATATTTCTCGTGTTTGGCTCCAGTTACAAGCTGCCAATTGACATCGTGCGGTTTTCGCAGCCTGAGCCACCGAAAAAGGCCAAGCCGCCAACGGCCAAAACGAACGATGATGTGGCGTTGATCACAGAGGCTTTGAGGAGACCGGGCACGCCATCGGGAAGTGTGCTGATGATATTTTTTCGGGTTTCCGGTGCGGCAGAGGCCGGGGAAAAGCGGGGGTTGCTGGGATGGTGCACTTTCAAGAAAGTGTGCAGCAAAAGATTCTGCACTAATCCTGTGAATTCCTGTGAGACATTTGATCCTGTGAGAACTGCAAGCCAACTGCTATGTATGCGCAACTGCAAGCCCCTGCTGACCAACACTATTCTTTGCCGCGTTCCAGTGCTGCTCCTAGCTACAATTACAGTTCGCGTAACTTGTTTTTTACAGCTGTTGGCATAGTTGGTTTTCTACGAGCTGAGTGCTACCAAGTGGTCGTGATAACTGACAACGCGGCCTACAGACTTGGCGACATTGAGTCCCTTGAATTGTGTGGACTCTCCAGGAACAACGAGAATCTTGCGACCATGACAACGCTGGATGAGGCACTGCAAATGATGAGAAAGTGTTCACTTTTGGGTTCCAATTATGTGTGAGCGCGCGCGTGTTTGTGCAGACATGCTCGTATTTTTTCTTGCGGTGACTCTCACTTTGCCTATCTTTTGATCTCTTTGTGTCCCTCTCTCTCTCTCTCTCCCTCTCCCTCTCTCCCCCCTCTCTCCCCCTCCCTCCTCCCTCCCTCCTCCCTCCCGCTCTCGCTCTCGCTTTGCTCTCGCTCTCTCTCTCTCTCTATCTCTCTCTCTCTCTCTTCCTCTTTTCTCTGTTCTTCCTCTATCCGAAATCACCCAGAGTGTAAGAGAAGGTTCCGCAACAGCTCTGTGGGACACTGCTCGGGTGCCTGACTAGGTGCGTTTGCGGGCCTTTGTCGATGTCATGTGGAAGGAGGAGGTCAAGGAGCGATTTGTGGGTGAAGTGATCGCTTGGGTTGAAGTCACGAATGTGGTGCCCTTTGAAAAGGCAACTCATGTCGGAAGCTGATGAATTGGCCCCAGCTCAAAGCAAACATATGAGACCGACATGCCCCAGGATGAGCGACCATGATAAAGTATTTTCCTCAGTGGTGCGGCACTGTGAACACAGGAAGGGCAGCGGATTATCGTCGAAGGCGACCTGCAGGCCGATTATTTCTATGCAACTTTGGTGGCAGTGGCGTGGCGGGTGGGTTGGCTTTATGTCGAGGGGATGATCAAAGTCCAAGGTTTCAATCATAGGACGTTTGCAGAGTTGTTCGAGACTGACGTTGGAAGAGACTGACGTTTCTGAATTGGGAAAGAAATCAGCCCCCCAAAAAGAGGAACACGCGACACGCGCCTTGAAAGATGCTGGCAATGGTCATTCTGAGGTTGTGGAGTCGGGAAGATTTGAGATCTTCGTCCAAGAGGAGGGGACGGAACGAGGGACCTCCGACGCATGCTCGCCGAGCCACGCGCCACGTTGGATACATGCACTGTGATGTGAGCAGTTTTTTGGAAGTGGTGTGAGCAATGTGATTTTAGGGATCCTTTGGCAGGCTTTTATATACTGCTCTTTGCAATGCTGCTTTCAGAGTATTTCCGGCCACGGCATTGTACCGTGGCCCTGTTTTCAGCTCTTGAGCATCCGGTTGTCTACACCGTTGCCAGGAAGGTGAAGAGGGTGGAAACAGTGCAGAGCTGGCCATGAGCCACGCTGAGAGCAAGGTGGGGGCCGGCGGACGTGCGACTTGACACACGGCCCCCATTATTGGTGGATCAGATCACAAAGCACACCGAACTTTGCTGGGTCCTATGGCTGAAGCCAGACCAGGTAGTGGAGGCCATTGCTAGTAGGGTGGAGGCCATCGCAATTCGGCTGGAGGCCCCCAAGTCACGATGAACTTTCGATCTTGCAAGCCGTTGCTGAAGAGGTATCATGAAGTGGGCACCCGTGCACCAATCGCGGTGATCCATGCTATGTGTCCTCTTACCTGTTGGCCACCCTGTTCTGTTGACCTGCGACAATTGCAAGGTGATGTGTTTCTGGTGAGATGTGATGTGCCTGCTGGTCAGGCATTTAGTCAAGGCTTGAACGCTCCCTTAGGTTTAGGTGATCGATATATGCTTTGATCCTTGTTTGCATGAGCCGAGGTAATGGAAGACGTGTCATCATTCCCGTACTGTACTGTTTCTTATTTGAGTGGTTTCTTGATCCCTTGACAGTCCCCTTGCCCAAGACTTTGTGCAACACCCAACGCTCCAGAGTCACATCAGGCTGAAACGACCTTCCGCCTTCCTTTCCGCGCAGGTCTTGAACGTGGTGTCTCAGGGCGGAAGCTTTGGCGAATTGGCACTTCTCTACTTTGTGCCACGTGCAGCCACCGTCCAGGCGCTTTGAAGCGCGAATGGATTGTCGCCAGCCCAGGTGGTCAATGAGTTGAGTAGCTTTCCTGGTTGGTCCAGGGTTGTTTCGTTGTTTAGTGGACCGAAGAGAGAGAGAGGGAGGTCACATTGATGCCTTTGAGATTTGGGAATCCCCAACCAATAGAATCCTTTTTTGACCTCGCCATATTGATAGCTTTGCTGTTTTGGATTAGCTGAGCTCGGCGAAAGTAGCACCACTCCAATGGTTATGTTTGTTTGAAGTGAACAGGCAGATGAGCACGTCTTGACCAGACCTTCAGTATTTGATTTGCTGGGCCCTTGTGATTCACTGATCGCCATTATTGGCCCGCTCCCCTTTCACTGTGCTTTTCCAGTCCGAATTTGACCCGATGGCCGTCGGATCCATTGATTTGACTTGGCCACTCTACCTGCGGTACGCAAGCTGTGCAGGCGATCACGGACGGTGTCGTTTGGGTCATCGACAGAAGAAACTTCAAGGATGACACTGGCACATGGGTGCTGCGACGGCCCCGCAGTAGACTGGGCATTTCAGCGACGGCCCCGAAGTCTCAGCGATTGATCATTTGACAATCCCAGCGATTCATGCAGGGTGACTTCTCATCTCACCACACACACTGTCACGGTGCAGTCGTTGGGAGTGCAGTAGTTGTAGTGTGTATGATAGGCATTGTTCAGCAAGAAGATCAGCATCTCCAGGGACTTTGCAAGCTGGAACAACTAACTTCTTGTTGGAAACCATACACGCTGCGCTACAATGAATGCACATGCAGCCTTCACGACGAGATTTAGCCTGATGCAGGACATTTTGATGAAGGTCTCGGACAACAAGCTGAAAGAATATGTTTGAAGCTCAGAGAAAAAGTACTCCAACTAGCAAACAATGAACTGAGTTAGTTGTGTCAAGTAGATGTTTTGGGGAGAAATGACTCACTCCCACTTGCAATTTCAGGCTGAAGCCAGAACTCAGACGTTTTTCCCAAAACGTCCTAGCCTGAGGTCCGGTACCTGAACGACGTGAGCATCTTGGACACGCTCTTGGAGACCGAGAAGAAGGCCTTAGCCAAGGCGGAGCTTGCCGGGAGCGACAGGGTGCTTGGGCGCGTTCGAAACGTGGATCCCCGTTGTTGGCTCGCAGGGCCCCGTGGGGCTCCGTGGGGCGCGTGGGCCTCCCTGTGATTTTCGGTTTTCAAGCAGATAATTATGATTGCACCCTTACATACCCTTACTTAATAGCACACATGTATGTATATACTGTATATATATATGTATATTATAGCTATATATATATATATCAAAGCTGGCACATTGTTAGTTCTGGTGTGTTCCATCAAAAAGGAGCAAACCAATACACCTTTTGTATCCTTTTGTGCCTTTAGAACTGATAGATAGTGGTCACACTGCTTTTAGAGATCCACATCTCAACGAGAGGAGGAGTGGCTCAGTGAACAGTAGACAGAGGCATTGGGTATACCGTCAGGTTGCTCTGCAAAGATACTAGCTGCAACATCCTGCAACGCCAAGCCTTCGAAGTCCCTCGAAGCCTTCGCCAAGCCTAGCTTTTTCTTGTAATTGTATGTTTTTTGTTGGATGTATATTTCATATCCGATTCATGCGCTAACCTTTGACTGCAATGCTATGTTGAAAGCTGCATCATCAGTTCTATTAATGATTTAATGTTGAAAAAGCGGTTCTTGACCAGGTTGGGGGAGCCCAGCGCAAAAAGCTTGCTGTTGCTCTGTCTTCTCAAGTGGTGGTTTCCTAAAGTATCGATACTGGATTAATGAGAAGGGAATATTGAGTTAGCAATAGGACCATACGATGTGGGAGTGGTGAAAGTACAAGGGGCGAAGAAGGGGAGGAGTGGCGGTGAATCCTGCAAGGAAATTGGACGAAGAAGAAGAAGAAGAAGAAGGGGAAGAAGAGGAAGGAGAAGAAGAAGAAGAAGAAGAAGACGAAGAAGAAGAAGAAGAAGAAAAAGAAGAAACAATAAGCAATAAGCAAGAAGCAAGAAGCAATAAACAATAAACAAACAACAAGAAGCAAGAAACAAACAACAAGAAACGAGAACAGCACCCTTCAGAACAAACGCCACACTCACGAGACCTGTTGCTTGCACGAGTATGTGCTGCATACACATGTCGTGGATGCTTTGCACCAGTCGCAGCTGTGACATGTTTGCTGCATCTCTTTGGCCATTGGGGCTTGGACCAAGACGGTTGCTGCCTGAAACAGCGCTTTGCAGACCTGGCAAAGATTTTTGTGTGACTGGACCATGTGTGTGGAGGTTAGGCAAACATATTTTTCATGCTTTTTGAACAAGCAATTGGTGTGCAGATCAAGAAACACACGCTTCGAAGTCTAGCCTGTACAACCAGACCCGTGTAAACAGCCCCGTTCGCACAGGCACTGGTGGAGATGCACTTCACGCAAGGCAAGCTGGGGGGAATTGACAAAGGCTGAATCTATTTCAGGAACTGACGCACATCATGGAATCCAAAACACGCGGAGAACAGTGCACCAGCATAGTGAGCTTAGCCAGGTTCTTCAAAGGGAGTGCAGCATCTGTGACTGTTGAGTCTTGATCATGGGCTTGAACTGCTGTGTTTTCGTGCCATTGTAATGCTTTGCAACTCCAGGCGAGATGGTTGTACAGCAAGATGAGCCTGGCAATACCTTCTACATTATGTATGAGGTGCGGAGGGCGATTCAGAAGCAACCGTTGTTTGAGGCGGTTCAGCTGTTTGAGGTAGGTTTTTTTTGAGGTGGTACAAGGAGTAGTACGAGGAACCCACTTGCGAGTACCTCAACTGATTAGTTTGGCCTACGCAAAGCGTGATGATATTGATATTGACATGAGATCATTGGAAGCGGAGCCTGGTGGCGAACACTTGACGCGCTGGTTCAGGGCAATGTGGATATCATCAAGGACAACAATGTTGTGGCGAACCTTGAGGCGATGGCACTGCGGATGGGTAACTTGGAGTCTGTCCCTTGGACCGATGCTGAAGTAGGGAAGAACCAAGGACCAAGGCTCGAAATCCTGTCCTGTTTGAAATGTTTTCCAGGAACATGTCTTAACCTTTGAACTTGAGTGCCATGCTGAGCAGGACCCCTCAGAAAAATAAGAGGGCTCAGTACGGCGGTCCGCACAGTAGCACGCCAATGGTAGACACATTTTGTGCAAAGCTGCTTAAAAGGCACGCCCAAAGCGGATGGTTCGGCTCGATCTTTGCTGCATAGACGGAATGGATCCATGACATTTGAATACATCGAAGGCCACCACAGAGCATGCTTCTTCGCAGTCAAAAAACCTGTAAGCCAACCAAACGGCAGCATGTGTCACTTAGACATGTGCAGTCAAGTAGACAGTGACGTTCCTGCCATGTCCTTGTGTGAGCAATGCAGCGTTCTGGAAGCGAACGAAACCCCACGCTGGAATGAGTTCGCAGGGATGTGTTTGCTTTGGCCCAGTGTAGCGCGACTCCTCTGAAAAGTAGGGGAACTGGTGCCGATTTCAAAGTGTCGTGAGAGACGTTTTGACCCTTCCAATTTTCCAAATACGGATGGACGCTGCCACTTGCATCAAAGTCAGCACACTTGGTGGTGCCACATCCACTGGAGTCTAGGTGGATCTACACCATGAAACTTCTCATGGTACCATATATGGAATATGGAAGCTATAGGTTTGTGTTTGTGTAAGCATTGAAGCGCCTTTTGAACATCAATTCACTTTTTGCAAATGCACAGGTGCAAGAATCCTTCTAACTGACCTGCTGTGACACACGAAATGGTGCTCCAAAGCATATCAATGTTCGCATTTGCAACTTGCTGGCACTTTCTCAAGCTCCGTAAGAGGCAGTGCAGATCTCGGAATCTCCCCGTCTCTCTCTCTCTCTCACTTTTGTAATCTGCGCCCTTGTCTGTATTGGAATCGGAACAGATTGATGCATGCGTGTTTCTTTTCTTCTGGTTCTTCACTGAGGTTTGTGACTTTGACGTTTCTCTTTACATGCCTGACACCGGTCTACCAGAACTTCTGTGAGAAAAGCGCCAGCTTCCGCATCTTCCTGCAGCGTTTTGTGGGGATGCCGGACAAGCGGAAGGCCGGGGCAACACATCCACCTCACCCATGGAGTGAGGATTGGATCCAAAGCACAGAGACTCTACAAGCAACTGTCCGGTTGTGTATTTCTGCTCACACATAGTCGCATTTAGTCTCCACTTGATGTGAGAACAAAAGAACATTTTACTGATTCAATTTCCCCGAACATCTAGCAACACCCCTTGCTTACTTGGGCTTGAGCCTACCAGTGGCCTACCCCCGACCTGGGCCAAGAACCTACCAGTGACCAGTGGCCTACCCCCGACCTGGGCCAAGAACACAGACAAAACACACATAACATAAACAACAGTATGTCCTGACCGTCAGGCCGATCCCTTGAGTCTATTTGCGAGGTGACATCTCCAAAGCCGCAAATCTTCATCCAGCTGCTTCGTGTGATTGCAGCGCTCGCGCAGTGCTGGATCTTTGCGCGAAAGACCTACACCAAGGACGGACCGACGGATCTTTTTCGGCCATCGACCATTTGGCAAGTCTTGACTCTGTGCGGAGTTAGATGGAGCTGATCGTGTTTGACCCTCGTATATTTTGAAGAATTGCTTGAGATGGCAAAGACTTTTCTTCGCTGACGCTGAATAGGAGCCTGGCAAACAAAAGTAGATACATTGCTCATTCTTGTTTCTAGTTTGCTACCAGTCGTAAAAAGCAACGATTTGGCCAGGGAAACTGGAATTCTGGCTACATAGCTGACTGGGAGCTTGCCATCAGAGTCTTGTCTCTGTATCAGCTTTCAACAACACACACTTATGGATATGCGTACTGACTTGACAGCGGTGCCACACGACGGCCTAAGTAAAAACCTAAGAAACCAGGACAGGTAAAGTATGGGGATCCAAACCTCTCAAAGCCTACGAGGCCTCCAACTCCAAATCGACACATCCAAAGCGACAATGCACATCTGCCGATGAAGAACCGATGCAACGGCTGGACATCTTGTTCTAGTTACAAGCAGGGCCCACGAGGAAATTTCGCAAGTAAAGCTGCAGGTACGTCTGGCTGATCAGGCCAGATATCCGCATGTACTGTGGCCGCTTCGTTGGACCATCGCTCACAGCACATGGATGGTCCCCCTGCTTAAAACAAAACAATAGACAATTCAAAAGAATCCCTGTGACTACAAGGGGCACACACTTAGATGGTTGCTCGCAAGAGCTATTATCAGTACGAAGTTCCCCTTGACTGCACAACACGGTATTGGACAGCTTGAAAACCGTTCAAACATTGCAGGTACGTCACTGGACGTCTCCAGTGATATCAGTACCGCCACAGAAGCCTCTTCGTTGGACTGTCACTTCTGTGGGGTAGACAGTCCCCCTGCCTCTTTTTCTGCGTTAAGAAACTGTAAGTTAGTAGCGATACCAGGAGCCCTTAGTAGCAAAACCAGGGGCCCTAGTAGCGTCCTTTACGACTCAAAACCTTAGGCACAGGTGTGGACACACACACACACGAAGCCGTACTCGGCGCGCTGACCCTTGCTTGCAGTTTAGTAGCGTGGCCAGGAGTCGCGAGTAGTGCCCTTACAACCTGGTAGTACCGTCCTAGCTCCTGGTAGCGAGGCCAGAAGCCCCTAGTAGCGTCGTTGGTGTCCGCCGGTCGCAAAACTTTGTACACATAGCGTCAATATTGGCGCTTTTTGTTGAAGACTACTAGTGACCTAAAAAGCCTTAGAAAGACAGAAAAAGCAAACAAAACAAAAGCAGACTAAGAGGGCAAGAAGGAAAGATAGGCGTAGTTACGAGGCCCACTTAGTTAAATGAAAGTAGAACGCGAGCTGGACCTTTGGTCTTAAACCGCCCGGGTAGCTAGCAATACATTAGGAGAAACGGAAAAAAAGGCACCAACACATAAGTGTGTTGAGTGCGATTTCCTTCCGTTGCCTGAAGGGTAGGGAGGTAGGGGGGAGGGTGGGTTAGGGGGCCTGTAGGCCTTGCCATCATTGGCTTTCAAGTATAGCCGATTTGGGCCGGCGCACCCCTTCTCTGAAAGACACCTGGAACCTCAAGAAAGGCCTCAAGAAACGAAAAGCAACAAAAGGAGAGAAAGAACCGAAGAGCATGAAAAATTCATGGCAAATGAATCTCATGTCGTGCCTGAAGTATCATGCTGGACCCTGCCTAGGATGACTGCTGCTGAGCACTGTACAAATGATTACGCAGACGCATGTTTCTGGTCAGAAGATCTCAAGGTTTTGATCACAGTAGGCCCTGCGGCATAAGATCAGTGGTATCGTGCTTTGCTGCCAATCAGAGAGGATCGAATGAAGTTCACGAAAGCAAAACGGAATATCAGGAAGATTCCCCCAGGATCTGGGTCTGTGCACATGCGGCGCCCCTTGACGGGGATCACACCACAGCCCTCAGTGGGACCCTGTGGCGAAACACACTCAGATGGTTGCTCGCAAGAGCTATTATCAGTACGAAGTTCCCCTTGACTTGAGGAAACGGAAAGAAGCGCAAACCGCAAGGTGAAGGGTCCGATCATTTGAAGGTGTTATAACAAGTTTTCTTCAGCTCATTAGACCTTTAATGCACAACACGGTAGTGGACAGCTTGAAAACCGTTCAAACATTGCAGGTACGTCACTGGACGTCTCCAGTGATATCAGTACCGCCACAGAAGCCTCTTCGTTGGACTGTCACTTCTGTGGGGTAGACAGTCCCCCTGCCTCTTTTTCCGCGTTAAGAAGTTGTAAGTTAGTAGCGATGCCAGGAGCCCTTAGTAGCAAAACCAGGGGCCTAGTAGCGTCCTTTACGACTCAAAACCTTGGACACACACACACACACTGCACACTCAATCCACAGACCAAGCTTCACCTGGACCTCTTCTCTTCTTTGTGGCACAAAAAATCAGGACTGACTGACACGACATGAGGGTCATTCTCTTTGCCAGCCTTGTTCATGCCCAACTTCCGTCGGACCGTCGGAACTAAGCCATCCATATCGGGTTTTTTGTCAATGTCCAAGTATGCCACCATCCTCACTCTTGACAAACTCTCTCTTGATACCCTTCATAGTTCAACGTTCCGACCAGAAACTCGCTGTTCGTGTCCTCGGGATCTCAGCGGGGCGCTGAGCTAAGGCTGCTTCTTTGTTTTCACACATCTCATGGAGCGCTTGAGCGAGGGCTTCCAATTTCGCTTCTGGAACCCCAAGGCACACCTGAGAAAGAGTCCAAGACGCGGCAGTCACTTCATCTCTGGTTCTGAAACTGCCGAAGGAGCAAAACAGCCGATCGGAAATCGGAGCAAGTCAGTATGTATTCAACCAGTTTGGACCAGCTTGCATTCGGGTGAGATGCTTAAGCTGGGCACATTCTGTCTTAACCCCCCCTGATTGCTTTTTGATAAAAGGGCGGTCCATTCCGTCATCGATGGGGCTTAGGCCTTGGTGGACATTTTCGTCATCATTCCTGTGTTTCTACCCTTCAGCCTGGACTTGCACCGGGTGCCCGTTGAGAGGCGGCCGTAGCAGCGGTGTTCATCCGTTGTTTTCTCCAATTCGTTCGTTTAAGTCAATTTCTCAATTGTTCACCAGGCACAAATATCCCAACGATGCACTGGACGATACCAATATATGTTTTTTTGTGGTTGAGTTGACCCCATCGCATGCTGTTTGTAGTCAGACATTCTTGGATTGTAGGACTCCGGCAGGTCCACACGGGCTACGTAGGTAGAAAAAGTGTGAGAAGAGACTAGGATTTGAGGAACTCACTGCGCTGTTGGTTGCTTCTGCAAAGGAATTGTGGAGTGTTCTGTTTTGCCTCAATCCTCTCGTCGATTTCAATGACCCCACTTTTTTGGCGTTCGAGCCACGGAGAGTCTTGCATCACTGTCAAGAGTTGTAAGATCGAGCACGTTGGCGGGCATGCGCTGTTTGTTAGAGGCAGTGGCTTTGTCTCAGCTACTTTCGCATCATTACTGCTCTGGGTGGCTTCAGGCAGGGTGGGTTTGCGCGTGGCCTCGCGCTTGGGAGCACATATTCCGCTTGCGTGGCCTCTACTGCTTTCCAAAAGCAGTGCCGTATTTTAGGATTGGGTGGAGTGTCCACCTATCGCTGGCTGGGCAGTTAGACTAAGATTGGGCTAGCCCCTCAGGATGCGAGAGAGATTATTGAACGATCTTGAAGGGCAATAGTCAATAGACTCGACTCCTTCCCTAACACTTGCTCACACTTGTTCAAGGAGATTTCCCTCACCCGGATGCGCTCTTCTCGATGCGCTCGGCGGTTCTCGATGCGCTCGCCGTGCCCGAGGAATTTGCAGCAGTTGCTTCGAAGCCGCGCGCGGGAGGACACCGTGCTGGGCCGATGTGTGGCTTCGGCTGGAGAAGGGAGCTGGGGAGCTGGGTGCTAAGCTCGCGACATGGATGGAGAAGGAGGGGAGGATTCTGAGGAACCATCTTCATATTGTCCTGGACCTATGTCTGGACCTATTCACAGTGAGACATCAAAGTATGTGGTTGATTTGAACATCCTGTGGATCGGATGGGTGACCGGGAGCCTTCGTCGTAAGACGTCCGAGGAATGGACACCACCTGTCGGGCTGTCACAAGGGGAACCTGCCCAGCTGGTAGTGACATAGGACATGTGTGTCGGAAGATTGATGCCCTGGTTGCTTGGCGTACGGCGTACTTGGTTGATTTGTGTTGATTTGAAGATGATTGATGATGGATATGTTGGATATGGGTTGCATGGCTGAATCTCCTGTGTTTTCGATCATTGAAATACCATCAGAGCCAACGCTTTGGGGCCGACTTCTTGGACAATGCACCTCTCCTGCAGCATACAGATCTACTAGCAGCCCTATCCGATAGCAGTATGGCTGTTGTCTTTAGCCCGAAGTAGATTTGAGGGGGTAGAACCGAACCGAAAGGTTTTGGATTTTGTCGAGTCAGTCCACGTCCAAGCTGAACGTGAGTCCTTTTTGTGGGGCGGGGCCGGAGTGATTTCCCAGATCCTGACGGTGCTGCGCTTGACAGCGATGGTGGGGGAGCCCGAGATTTGGACGTCGCACAGCGAGATTGAAGGATTTCTGGAGAAGACTCAATTTCTACAAGCCGACAATATGGCACAGAAACAATTAACCTAGCTTTGGATCTTGGCCTAGGTTTCTATCTGCAAAAGCATGGATCTGTTTGACCTTTTGCCGCATATGTCTTCGCCCTGACAAGACGAGCCCACCCCATTTCCAGGATTTCCTGGCTGTTTCGCTTGGGGATCCTCTCTCTTTCGGGGGATCGTTTGCTCCTCGTTGGCAGATCGTTTGCATGGCGGGGACGATGTTCGCCCTGGAGGTGGTCGGGGAGATTCCCGGCTTGGAGGACGGGACGCGAAGCGGCGCGGCGAAGCGGCGTGGAGCACGGGACGCGAACGATCCGATCCGATCCGTCGATCGGACCGACCCGGGTTTTGGGGTGACAGGATTCCTTCATCACTGTGCAGATGGGCGATTTGTTGCTTGGAGTGTTACTAGTAGCGTCCTTGTTCCTAGCAATGGCCTCGACCCTAGAAGCGATGGCCTCCACCTAGTAGCTTCTTATTCCTCTTGACGAAAAAAACGGCTAAAAACTGCAAAAGAGATTTTTGGAAACGTTGCCATGCCTCACCGATTGTCATTGCCCTCAGGTCGATCGTTCAGATGATCTACTGGATCACGACCACAGTCTCCACCGCGGCCTGGCGAGTACTTGCGTGCGCGTTTCGGCTGGGCGGTCATCGGTGCTGACGATGGACCCGTGCAGAGCTGGCTTTCACGCGTGAGGCCGCTTGTTTTCCAGCGCTGTTGACTGCCTTCGGTCCTCCGTCTGCGTTCTGTGCGGTTGTCACCGGCTCCAGTTTTGTGAGCTGTTAGGCCTGGCCTTACTCCGATGCGTGCGGTGCCTGCGGCGTTGCTTTGCGTGCTGTCCACTTGGGGCTGCCACACATGCAAAGTTCCTCCAAGGTTGTGGTTGTGGTGATCTTGGGACCTTTGAGCATACCGCTTGGGGTTGCAGTGACAGGCCGGATGTGGCTTCCTTGCCAGAGCGGCCGTGTCATCCCTCGGCTCCCGTTTTGGGCGTTTGAGGGTGATCTTGAGGAGTACACGGGCGAGTGTGCAAGCATGTTTACCTCGTGTCCTCACGCCTTCGGGCCTGGAGTCGTGTTGACTCCGCTTGGGGGCACTGTACAACCGTCATCAACCGTCTATTTGTTTATTTATTTTCGACCATGGTCTCCAAGGTGGGCTATGGCGACTTTTCTCCCACCACCTTGCCAGCGAGGACGAAAGGGGGAGCAGGGAGATGTCACACAGGCCAAGTTTCCCTAAACGTCCAGGACCCTAGGAACCAAATCATTAGCGTGAGCTATCCTGCATCCTAGCTAGGAGCGAACTTTTCCTAGTAGCTTACCTCCTTATTTCATTAAGTAGGTGCCTACTTAATTAAGCAAAGGCGTGCTAAGAAATCGTGAAGCAAGAGCAACCCCGGTTTGGAGGTCTCAGTGGGGGAGACATCTCCGAAACTCTCCGGTGCGAGCTGAGCTCGTTCACCCTTTTACCGTGGTCGTGGGGACGGAAGATTGCCCACAAAAACAAGGAAGACTGGAAGACTCGGCGGATATCGCAAGGAAGCAGACTCGTGTGCCGTGCTAAACCGGTGGACTGTTCCATTTTTGACTTTGAGACCCCTCGAGATCACCGTGGAGACATGTCATCGAGACGTGTCATTGTAGTTTCTTGGGTGAATTTCCCAGCCTTTCGGAAGCAAAGGAGAGGAGGAGCGTTTCTTCCTGCTGGAGGAAGCGGTAAAGCTGTGCCGGGCTGGTGCCGTAGCAATTCAGACATAGTAGGTTCCAGTTCCCCACTGGGGCTGATACCCCCGTTCGTCGGGAGTTGGAGGGGCCATAAGTCCCGAGTGGATTTCCCCCCCTTGCCAGCCCCCCAAGGGGCTGCAGGAGCATGGATGGAAGTTTGGATTCCATCAAATCTCAACCAATTCAAGTGGCACCCCATGGGTTTCAAATTTGCTGAATCCATGCCTCAAGAAAGACTGGAATGGCCGCCCAAGCAAACAAAAACAAATTAAGGCTTGGAATATGCGTGTGTGTGTGTATGTGTGTGTTACTTTTGGAGACTTTGACTTTGACCAATGCACGACGATGAACGCCCAACAACAGGAGCTGATAAAGTGTTAACATGCTTCCAGTGTCCAGTTTTTCCAGTGTGTCATTGACTTGTTGAAATAATAACTGTGCGGCTGCCGCAACTCCTTGGTAGAAGAACTGTTGTAAAATTGTAAATTGAATCACATCGTCACTCGTTTCATTTAATTTTCCGAGATTGGCTGAGATTCCTGCTAGCTTTATTAAAGAGAAGTGTCCGAGATTGCCGTATACCGTATACGCCATGTCGATGTCGACTGTTGACCAAACCGAGGTTCAAAGGGTTTCAATCAAACAATGGATTGATTTTGAACATTTTAGTGCAACAAACAAAAGAAGACACATTGAAAAACACAGAAAGCAGGGATCATAGTAGCGCACTATGCCGCAACCAAACCATAATGATTCAGGGGGTAAGACGAGCATGGTGACCAAGATCCATTGTCCATTATTACTGTTACTTCATTTTCTGAGTGTAAGCCATGGAAACGATCTGATGGACTGGCAGAAGTGATATGTCAGTATGTCAATCCCAGAGCCGCTGGTGGACTTGATTTGGACCAAGGTCCGAAAACACACACCAGATCAGTCTGAGTCTGAAACTGAACGTTTCTATGTTTCTGCCGGAGATGTGTGTGCAATCCATCATCACGCTACAAGCTTGAGCAGTGGCAGACTAGGGGTTCGGAAAGTGGGCATTGTTGAGTTCCTGGCAAATTTTTCGCGCGTATTTGGTGCGGGAAAGCTTGACCCTGGGCAAAAGGCTGAGGAATACTATGATTTGGACATGATTCCCTGCGTGCTTCAAGATTGCCACGCAATAGTTTTGGATAGCGAGGGTTGGGAGTGGTTCAAGCAAGAGCTTCATGGGGACTCTCGCCCCAGGCCAATGCCACGTGCAGCCAGCTCGAACCAGCATGAGTTGGATGGATCAAGAAAACGCTTGCTCTTTGCACATCCGGCGGGCGATGCCAATAGCCAAAGCTTGGAAAGATCCGACTCCTTTGCCTCCGTTTCTTCATCATCAAAATTGTCGAGACTGTCTACTTCCACACGGCAGACTGAGGACTTGAAGGAGAGCAACGATTCCTTAATGACAGAAAATCGTCTTCTGAAAGAGTTGTTGGCAGAAAAGAACCGAAAGCTGATTGATCAGCAGAAGCTAATCAAGAACTTGAAGGTGAAGCTGGGAAGACAAGGATTGAATCTTGACAATCTGGCTGCAAATGTGAAGAAGCATAAACTCAAGGACAACAAATTTGATCCAACTCGTGTGAGAAGCGACAAAAAGAAGCATCAACAACTTCGACGCTTGGACGCTGGAAAAGTCCAGTCCTATTTGCAACATGATGAAGAGGAGGATTGCAAAGACAATGATGAACAGAGCGGCTGGCTAACCCCTCAGGGATCTGTGGCTTTGGCAGTGCGTCGGAACCTGGGGAATGCATCAGCAGAGGACACAGGGCTCATGATTCTGCACGATATTTCCAAACAAAGCATTCTCCGAAGTGAGTGTCGCGCTGGCGCAGCTCTCATAGCCAGCGCCCGCAATTTCTTTCGGGAGTGGCAATACGAAGATGACCACATGAATGATGATGAGACTAGTTTCCTTTTTCTCCAGTACAAACAAGATGCAACCAATGCATCCAAACACAGACAGAAAATGCAAGCAATGGAGATTAATGCTGCGTACCTCATTGCAAAGCAAAGCGAACTTGCAGACGTGACGGATTCTGACTTCAGTGGCATACGGCGGCTGGCTGATGTGGTTCCTGTTCATGATGGGTACGGAACTGGTGTGGGTACCGTGGCCCTATCTAGAAAGCTCCTTCTATCACTTTCTGCTCCAACTTGGGAAACATTCCTCTCTCGACCTGCTTTGTATGATGGTGACAGGCAGCAGTTTGGGAAACGACAAACAAACTGGTTTGATTGGTTTTTGCTGACGTGGACCTGACCCAAGCAATTTGATTTTGCTTTGTTGTTCAATTGCTGGGAGTCCGCAGTAGACTGACACGTTGGACATTGAACAACCTATGATATGGACTCAACACTGACTCAACTCGACAAACAATTGTGCATTGCTTAGTGACTGACACGGAGACACAGAAACATTGATGATGTCATCTGTCACCACCAACTTTTAACTTCGTGCTGCGTTAATTGCTAGAATTGTGGTTGAGTTGAGTCGTAGCCATTGGAAACGGGTGCCTCTGCAGGTTGTGAATTTGCACTTCGCAGATGAACCAAAGGCAATGGAACACAAAAGCAACAAGAGCTAGTAACTAGAGCAAAAAACAGAATGACTGGAGGACCAAAGCGAGGGGAGGAAGACTAGTGACAAGTGACCAAACAAAGAGAGAGAGAGAGAGATATAGGGAAAGGGAGAGAGTTGTGGTGATAGTGGTGATATTGTGATATAAGTTTATATATGAGAGAGAGAATGGAGAGGAGAGATGAGAAGATGAAGATGAGAAGAAAGAATGACCATTATATGGAATCCCGCTCAGTGAGAACTCAAGTAAATATATTGTTGAACTGATGTGCGGCGTAACGCGTGGATATTAGATATTGCATTCGATTTTGGTATTAGATGTTGGAATTGGAAAGTAGTAGCAGTCGTAGTAGCAGTAGTAGTAGTCGTCGTCGTAGTAGTAGTAGTAGGAGTAGCAGTAGCAGTAGCAGTAGCAGTAGAATCACATACAAAGCGGCTGGACTCTGGAGAAATGAAACACACACACACACTGGTAAATAAATCTGATGTATCACAGCCAACTTTTGTAGTGCATAGTCTAGTGTAAATTAATCTTTGGTTTGACTGACATGCCATGACATGCCAGCCACTAATCCCTGCAGCACAGGATTTATACTTGAAACCTCCCAAGGCCTTTGCTCCTCAGTCCTTAAGTTCAAACAGGTCCAAACATTAGCCAAACTTTCAAGCATTCTCTACATGACTACACATGCAGTCGTGCATTGCTGCTGAACGCCGAATGCCGTGCGCTTGTGTCATGCGCTTGTCACCGTGTCACCTGTCACTGTCATTCAACTATTTTCGCAACCAGTGATGAGACTTCATGTGTGTCGCCTTTTTTGTTTCAGTTCCAAGCACGGACAAAGATATTCCTAGCCTGTTGTACAGTTGTACTTGTACTGTCAAATGTTTGTGAGTATGCCTGTGTGTGTGTGTTTCCATCTCTCTTTTTCACATGAGTATCAATAGTATTAATTTGGCGGCATCCAGGCATCCCCTTCCCAAATTCAAAATATATGAAAATATAGATTTATATATTTATATCATATCATAACATATATATATACATATCGAGATATTGTCTCGCCGTCACCTCCGACCACCCTGTGTGATGCAGTGATGCGGCGCCTGAGCCCGCAGAGTTTCGTTTGTTTGACTTATCTTGCAACAATCTTGTCACATTTTGTCATTCCAGGAGTTCTGACTCCGATGGCCCTCAAAGATTGGCTTTTGTGATGGCCACCACTGATGGTGGTCCAAACGAAGTGTATGCAAAGAAGATCATTCAAGCGTTGTTGCGTGGGCTCTCTGGGGTCTTTTTCCTCCCCAACAACTGCTTAGAGCACATCTCGCACATAGGTGTACTGGCAGCGCTGAAGCTTTGTGATCAATGGCTGAAGGGTCATCGGCAATGGAAGTTTTTCAGCAGTGTTGCCATCATCGCAACTACATTGAGGGACCTGAGTCAATCGCTCTTTCGAACCTGGAAGTCTTTATACGGTGATGCTTCAGCAATTGAAGCCGTGAAGGCGTTGTTCCCACGTTGCATTGCGGGCCGTTGGGGGTCAATAGACCACACAGAGGAGAGGCTTTTGCACGCAAACATCGGCAAACTGGCAAAAGCGGTGAAGCATATGTTTGAGGCTACTCCGACCTTGCTGGAGAATGACAAAGCGGCGAGCAAGGCTGCTGAAGAAAACACAGTTGACCAAATTGCGTTGGAGGAAACAAAAGAGTTCAAACTCAAAATGGGGCGCTGGAGACGTCAAACACACACGGTTCTACAAGATTCACTTTTTGAGAAGCTGGTCGATGTAATGCATCAAACTCGCCGACCATGGATGCACCTGTCTTTCTTTCTCAAGA